CTCCATGGATGGACTCGGTTCTCGATTCAGAGCGCAGAAGTATAGGGCTGTACTCTATGAGAGCTCTCCATGGATGGACTCGGTTCTCGATTCAATGGCTTCGGTTCTCGGTGGAATCTGCCCGACCTTCCCTCGTTTTTGTGTCCTTCTTGGCCTCCTTTTTTGCTGGATGCTCGTCCTCTTTCTCGATTGTTGTTGTGGGTTTTTGTGCTTTTTTTAGGACCTTAACACGACTAGAAAACGCTTCAAAAATCCTTATTCATGTGGGTGCCTACTACTACTACTACTACTACTACTACTACTAGATGCAGCACCGTAAAAGAATCAACACTTCCAAGGAGGGCAAGCCAGCGAGAAGCGGAAAGGTCAGAAGCTCATTCCAGCTCAGATTCAACTCTTTTAAGGACCCCACCTGTAGCTTCACATCGATCAAACAGTTGTGGCGAGCGGAGATTAGAAGTTGAAGTACTTAGGCTCTGTCTTCAGATGCAGATCTCAGGAGGAGATCAAAAAGAGGCTCTCACAGATCTCAGGACGATGTTTGTAGACCTTAATATCTCTCATCTTTGAAGACGGTGATCCTGATGGCGTCCCTCTTGCAGCCCAAGAGGACCAGCACTATGAGCTAGCACATGAAAAGGTGAAATAACAAGTTCATATTCGTAATTTCAAAATCGACAAATTCTGGAACCCGTTTTGTTCGCTGACACAGTTGATGTCACTCAGGTTGTTAAACGAGAAATCCGCGTACACGAAAGAAAACTTTTTGAGGTCCTTGTTCAGCAGCCCACCATCCACACCTGCGGATAAAGATTCTAGCTTGTACTTTGACCCTGAAAAATCCATGTTTCGAGCTCGCCCATTCCGCCAATCCATCCCAAATTCCGTTTCGAAAACAATCTCATCAAGAGTTGTGATCGCCTCTCCACGAGCGTTCTGGGTATGGACCACCATTTTGTAGAAGGAGTCCTTGTCCTCGGTGTCAGTGGCTTAGCCTAAGCCGCTTAGGTATGGTGATGTCTGTCGTAGTCGAAACAAGCGTCGATCATGTTGCCGATGTAGTTGGGTCGTTTTTACTAGGTACTCTACCTTTTTTAGTAGGTACTATAGACGGAAGATACTGATGTTCTGGAAGCGGGTACTGATGTCTGCTGAACAAGAACGAGGTGGTGAGGCTCGTCGACTAAAAGATGCGTTGGAGGTCACTATCGGGTGGCCACCATCGCGGCCGACGAGGACCCCAGCAACGCCCTGCTTTGGTGAGTGTCATACTTTTTCTTGTTCCGGTACCAATGTTTCACAACAATGTACGAGTAAAACAATGTTCCTTGATGTGGTCTCCCAGCTGGCTGCACTACATTTTTGACCGATGTCTCCTTTACTAGGGCCAAGAAGGCGCATCACTCTGATTTCTCTTGCAAGCATAGAAGCATGCCCTTCGCCCTCGTCCAGCGCTCCAGTGCGAAAAATACTCTCTACTGCGTCTCTAGGCGTCGGCGTAAGACTCATGTTCTCGTTTCTTTGTCGATGTTCATTTTTCACTTTCTTTATCACACAAGCGTAGGTCAATCATACAAAGTGATATCAAAAATGCGCAAGTTCATGGTCAAGGAATGGGGATTGATCGTCCATGATCTTGACATGTCTTCAAAAATTAGTCTGCTGCTCATTCCAAGAGCCTTCTTTGTGCAGAGGTTGGAAAATCGGTTTTTGATACATGCGCGCCAATGCCACGATATGTAGAAGTAGTACCTAGGTAGAAGTAGGTCAGTAGTAAAACATAAAGCAATGGTAATACGTATGCTCAACGAATGAAAAACAAGAAAACGAATATGCGAAGTAAAAATGATAAATTCAAACATGTTAAATTCAAACCTGTCATGATGTACAAGTAGTATCCATCGTCCTCATCGTATCATAAGTAAATTGGACAATATGCTCAGATCCTCGACTGTGTTGAACCACCCACTTGATCTATTTCAACACCTTCGTCAGCATCTGCGGAAAACCTCCGTTGATTCCTGTTGTGGACCTCCATCTCCTGTCCTCTTCTGGTGTTTATCTTGTAGTTCCTAGCATCGCGCGCATTGAGTTTGTAGGCTATTCCGCTAATCAGCAAGCTGCAGGCGCATAGAAACAGCGAGAGCTTCCCAATAAAGCCGAAGCAACGGCTCGCTGGCGTACAGAAAGGCTCGTTCGGGTCAGTATTGCTGTCTTTTGCCTCGTCATAATGCGAACCAGCTTCGTGTGTTAGAAGAACGAGTGAAGAGACAATAACAAGATGTAGTTCCTAGATGGATGGTCTTGGTGTACCGAGTAGCATGGGGGAAGGCTATAATTGCGTTGTAGCTGGACATGAATGCAAACAGGAAAAGGCTGTAAAAATTAGTTATCATCGTTGACGATCTGCAGTCTGCCATAAATGTGACATCAGTTTCACGGCAATGGACATGCAGAAGACCGGGAAAGCGAAGCCAAAGACCATGTTTTCTTTGCCGAAGGTGCGGACGCTAAAAGCGGGTAGCACGCACCAATTACAACCGTAGCTAAGCCCCACTGCCCACAGCCACAGTTCACTCCCTTGTCCTTGAACTAAAGCGAAATAGCTCGCCAGCCCCATCAAGACGGCTGACGAAGTTTAGAGGGACCGGACTAGGCGTGCTGTGTCGTTTTCTAGCACCAGATTTGAACGATATTTTAGAAGGCTCTTTAGAAGGCTCCCAAAGCCGAAAGGAGTCTAATCGACCTCTTCTAAGATAGAAGTCACCGACTCGCGGAGTACCTCAATGTCAACACGACCCAGGACAACGAGGACGCATACGAGAAACTACCTGTCTTAAAATATCATCGGCCTCTCTGGACGTATCTTTTTCTGCAGAAGATCGAGGCAGAAACCGGCACCGAGACGACCACCCGCGTTGAAAAGCGACACTAGAGTCACGACAGAGTCGCGCCGCTTGTCGGAGTAACCATAAGACCCGCACAAAAGCTTCAAATTCGCGATAAAGACGCCACTGCCGACACCTGTAAGGTTTTTTCTGGCGGTGGTTGGAGGTATCATTTTCGATGAAGAGGACGAGGCACAACCACAACCCAAAGACAAAGTCAATTATATATTTTTCATGGTGCAAGCATTGATTGACTGATTGATTGGTTGATTGATATGCCTGACAAGAGGTAGGTATTGGAGAGTTAATTCTTCTTCCTTCTAAAAACATCAAAAGTAGAGGTAGTACATTGTGTCAGTATGAACTGCACAAAAACCGCCCAGAAGGTTCGCGTTTGCATTACTTCCTTATAACCGCCTGCGAAAGGCGGTTGAGTATCAGAATGGTCCTCGTCTATTTCATCTGATTGCTCTTCCGCAGTTGAAACTTGCTTCTGATCATCGGCCGGATCGCTAACCTGATGATATTTTCGACCAACAGGTGGGCGGTCTACAGCAGGTAAAGCTGCACTTTGACGAGTTATCTGATGAGGGTCGTAATTCTGCTTAAAGATAGATACTAATATAAATAAAAGTAGAAGTACAACAACAAGAATACTAGGGGATCAATCTTCTGCATCCCTTAGAAAATCTCTATGATGAAGGAAACTAGTACTCGCTTTGTACCTATGTTGTAATTTCTTGGTGTTTGTACCTCTCCCGTATCTTCCTCCACCTGCAGGATGATTGCGCCTGCTATTCCCGTAAAGACCCATAGAATCCCTGTCCAGTAGATAAAGCTGTGAACGCTGCTCTCTAGAAGTGAGGCATACACAAAATTGTAGACCGCGGCTGAAAGTCCATACCCAGCAGCGAGAATTCCAGTGGTAAGACCCACTCGTTTCGCAAGCAATAGCCCTGGGGCGTTAAAAAAAATATGGGACGGAGGAGGAAATCATCAATAGCATGTGGGTGGTCTCTTTTGCTTTTTCCGCGTTGAGGAAATGAGTCGCTTCTTCTACAGCAAGAACCTCAAGGTCAAGGTGCAGAGCCAGGGTATTAACTAAGCAGATCTAAAATCTATGTATTAGAACTTCATTCTTCTACTTCATCTTCTAGCCTTAATGTACAACCCGTTTTGGTACAAGGTGACGCTTCCATGCTGTATCAAAAAATAGAAGAAAGCCATCTTCATCGGAGAAGCGACAGCCTGTTGCTTGTGTTTGGGGGATGAGAGACCACGCGCTGCCGAGGAAACTAAAGTTGAGGCGGACGAGGGCAGTTGTTGTTGATGTATGTCAGCTTTCTCGTTTTGATTTTGAATAAGCAAGTCGACCATATTGGCTCCATCCAGTGGCACTTGGGTTCTTCTTCTTGGGTCTTCGAAATTTTGTGCCAACTCCTTCGGCACTAGTAAACCCTCTCCACCTGCTACGTCCGCTAACCTATGCAAGCTGCCACCTCCAACCAAATGATCGCTTCTCCCAGGTGGTGGCGGTAAGTGCAGGTAAAATAGCACTGACCCAATACCAATCGACACGAAGGAATATATCGATGTCCAAAAAACGCCTTTCTGTTTGAAAATTAGAAGATGAAGATGAAGACTTAAAGTTAAACCCCCTACAAAATACGTCTACAACACGACACATCGCCGACGCCAGCAGCGAGTCACAGAATGCTCGATGCTGCCTCCACCCTCATCTTCCACTTTCATGAGTACAGTACCCCCGATTCTATCCCCACCTTGTTTCAGTAGTATTTCCTCAGCTACTTTCAGTAGCATAATTCCCTTCTACTCAGTGTCAGTTGCTTCATTAGTCCTACTTTCACTTTCAGTTTACACGTACACCCTTAAAAACAGCACTCCCGAGATGAACCCCAAGCCGACTCCGAATTGTCCGGCAGCGTAAAGAAGGTCCACATCTGCAGCTGACCACCCGTTGAGCTGCATCAAATCAGTCTCCAGGCCTGCGAACATGTACAATGTTCCTCCACACGTAGCATTCCACAGACATAAGGCGTAGACTAGGAGGATGCCCTTCCTAGAAGAACCGAAAAGACGGCTGCGCATCTTTACGTTAAAGCTCAGCATTCAATGGGCATTGATGCTGAACGGAGGAGACCCCCTTCAAAGCTCTCCCCTTTCCCTTTCTTTTCCCCTATTCTCTAAAGGGGTCGCTTCTTCGATCTCAGTGACCAACCTCAATGACCATTGAAAGCTGAGCCTTAATTATGGACGACGAAGCTGAAGGCTGGTCGTGTGGCTGTTGTCCGGTGGAGGTCTCCATAGAAGTAGGAGACAGATGCTGAGACGAAGTCGTAGTTCTTGTGGAGGGTACCATTTTGTCGTCTTCAATGCAGTCTTTTAACTGGCTCAACTTACTGACGCATCTCGGTCGAGGCGAATGGGACTGTTGTGCAAGCGGTTACTGTAGAAACTACTGCTTCATCTGTGGTTCTTGCAAGTGCAGTTTGGGCGCTGAACTAGTATCACTCCTAAAAATTCTAATCCGCAGTGGAGGACGCTGTAGTGGCAAAGAAGGAAAAGCCGCACGATCCGACTGGAGGAAGAAGGGGGCACTAAAGGCTGCACTACAATGAGGAAAACAATTCTAAAAGGAAGGAGGATCTTCAACGGCTTGGCTTGTTCTGCTACTTGTACTCAATAGCTGAAAAATATGTTAATGTGGAGGTTGAATACCGAATAAAAAGATTAGAATTATTGAGTCACCTCTTCAACTCTCCTCGCTCTCCGTCTACTCCCAACAACTCCAAGAACGCACTCTTCCCTGCTGTCCTAATCATACTGCCGCGTCGCTGTGCTCTTTCTTCAATAAGTGTTTCCCTGGAACAGCACGACTTTCACCTGTTCAAATACCAGATGGGGAATCAATCAGTACATCATAGTTAGTGTTAGACTGCCATATTTTATGAGTTTGTTCCTTTCTTGTTCGAGTTCAAAATGAACATGACCTCCATACGCTGAACGACTCCATAATGGTCTGTCCCTTGCTCTCTTCTACAGGAGCAGCCTAATACCATACAAAATAAGATTAGTCAATTACATTAGGGCTTCTAGCTGCTGCACACGCATCATTTAAAAATGAGTCTACGTGGCACAGTTCAGAAGTGCTCCCCATTTGCAATTTGCTAGTCCTACTAGATATTATTCCAGCCTGGAATAAGGTATGATCTACTATAACAGAGACAGGATTGTACTTCTATTATTTGGCGGTCCGCTTGGGCAATGGAAGGTTGTTCTTTCCTGGCAAAAATAAGAAGAACGACAATTTGAGTTACTACGCGTACATGATTTTTCGCTGTAGTTCTAGATCTAGCTTCTCATCTTCCATATAACGATTCAGGGAAGAGAACCGAAAAGGAAAAGAAACTTCAAAAAGAAGTGTAATCAACCCAACACGTTTTCAACGTCGAGTCGTTCGCATTTCGTTATGCGAGACAAACCGGGAAAAGCCTTGTCGATGTAGTCGTTGCCTCCAGCAATCATAACTTTTTGCCGAATCAACGCTTTACTTAGATGAGTTACTTGTTCGCCATCTGCATCAGCTTCCTTGGTTATGTGAGTTATCTTCCCTGAGTGGTGGCGATCTCTTCACCTCGTGCCTGTTGCTTGAACTACTCCTATTGTAGAATAAAAAGCAACTTCTGAACTTCTGGATTGCATTGCATGGATGGCATGCATGGCATGGATGGACCACCCCAAAAAAAATAAATTTTTCGCGGCGCCCTTCGGGCGCCATACTTCCTCCGCAGTACCGGGCTGCCCCGCCGAAGAATTGCTTTACGATACACGAACACGAACACAAACACAGCCCACAGCCACACTGACTGCGACCCCGCCCCAGACACAAGCAAGGAGCAGCGCGAACGCCGTGGCCTGTGTGCGCCAGGGAACAGTGAGCAAGACGGTCGAGATCCCAGGCAAGCTAGCCTAGTCGAGCTACTTACAATAGCTAGCACCTCCCAGGAGCACCACCCAGGTACTCCTACAACGAGCGCGGACAGGCGCCAGGCGCTCTGCATGCTCCAGCCGCGCTGAGAAGGGGGTGGCTGAAGATGAGGAAGGCAAGGCAGGCTGCGCAAAGACAAACGCAAGAAGCAAAACAGACAGCAACGCGGTGGCCCCCCTATGGCGCGCCCTGAGTCTTCGCCCCCGTGTTGCTCCCTTCAGGAGGTCGTATACTGACCCCCTCGGCTCATGCAATGCATGCCATGCCATGCAATCCATGCCATCCAACATCCTTCTTATTGATTACTATCACGGAAGTGACTCATTGGAATGAATAGGATGAACACGACTCCAGAGTAAAACTACTCCAGAGTTGTACACCACACGCATTGGAGTACACCTACACACTATCTATGGTGACCATGAAAAACAACTCCTGACCATAATTTTTGCATATTCGCACCTCCGGTGAAGAAAATATCGCTATATTTACTCTCCACGCTCTTCTGCAAGGTTTGGACCATCGTCTCTAGCCCTTATATTAGTGCTAGTTTTTCACTATCCAAGGTTGAGATTGAGCTGTATGTCCTGCGTCCGCCTTTGTTTCACCATGAAGTCAAGGGGGACTCCACTCAGCATCTAAATACTCCACAGACATGGGATAGTGATACAGAAGTAGCCATAATTGTACGTACTTCTTCATCAGAGTCTTGTGCTCTTTCTTAGGTCCGGCAGCCGAAGTCGACGTTTTAGACGGTTGCAAGGAGTTTCATCTTTCAGCTTTTTCGTCCGATTCTTGTTCAAATTCATCACGATCGAGCTGTAGATTGCTTACAAAAGATGGACTCAAGTTGTTCATCAATTCATCACAGTACACAGTCAATTCACCACAGTTGTACAACAACACCTTCACATCTTCAGCACAGACATCAATGTTGGAGGTAGAGCTGCACTATTTCGAGTCGAGTGGTTTCCCCTTTATTTTGCCCCTTAGTTTCCCCTTTAAATCAAGGAGGACTCGTCCACTCAGTATAGTGGCCCACATGAGATAGTGATAGACTACGTTCAGTATAGTCCACATGAGATAAGAGCGATAGACTACGTAGCTCATAAAAATGGCACCACCTCCACTACCAGAAGAACCAGCACAACCACTAGACGTCTTGCTCTTACTTTTTCCAATATTCAAGACTTCCATCTTGCTTGTGCGGAACTCTCCTCTAGAGCTGTGTTCGTTCAATATCACAAGAGGAGGCCACCAATTATCCGTCAAGTGGCTCGTTGTGTAATCGATGCAAGAAGTAGAAGGAGAGGTCGTGGTCGAGGTGGGCGTGAGCGTGGACGCGGACGCGGAGGTGGTATCTACAAGAACTTTTATTTTAGAGCTTGCTAGTAGTAGTACCACCGCGTTCGCATCCGTCGTGAAATTTGATTACAACCCTTGGCAGCAGGAGCTTCTTTTTGAAGTACAAAAAGAGCTGCCAGGGATGATGCTCGGGAGCCTGAGGTAGGATGCTTCAGCGGTTGTAGCCTTAACTACTGTATCCTCTTGATGATTCTGATTTGCTTCATCTCCTCCTACTCCTCCTCCTGCATTTCTGATGCTCCCAAAATCTGTCACTATACCAAAAGGCCAGAAACCAATAAGGTCCAACTTTTCTTCATTGTCAACAAGATTGATAATTAGAGCGACCGCGTCACATGCTGTTCCTTGATGAGAGCCATGATACTCTTCAACACTTTATCTTTTTTCCTCTGAAAAAAAGGCCAAACTCAAGGATCATGATCTGAGGGAATGCGGATGCTTTCTCGGTCGTTCTTGGTCTAAAAAGGATGAAGATGCTGCGGGTACGCATTGTCGTCCCTTAGGATTACGCATGATGTAAGGGGATGCGGATGCTTTCTCAGTGGTTACAGTCATGATTTAAAGGGATGCTCATGAGGCTTTCTCAGTCTCGGTGGATGCCTTAAGATAAAAAGTTCAGATTTGGCGGTTTTATCTTCTTCTTGGCCAAAACATATAGTCCCCGCGACATTACTCCGTTGTTGACCGCCCGCTTTTTTGTTCGCCTCCCCCTGTTTGAACCAAGTCAGTTCTTGCTCGTAGAAGGGCTATGAAAAGAGACAGGACGTCGACAGTGGCCAGGAGGACAACAACAGGGGATAGCGATAGGGAAGCTTTATCGGAAAGAATAAACCACAATTGGTTATAGATAATTGACATGTATACATAGTAAGTAGTAAGCAAGACTGAATCAAGCAGACATACTTGCGGTGTTGTACTTCCAAAACCGAATGTCCACTGTCGAGTTCTCGTCTAACGTCTTCTACGCAAGAAAGGGAGGAAGTTCACCGTTGACGGCTATGCTGTCGTCTCCGTAAAGTCGGATCTGCTTTTGTTCCCGCCGTTGGCCCGTAGTTCCAATCCAGCACAAAATTCGGAATCGCCCTCACAAACCTCTGGTCGTCCAGAAAACCGGCAGCAGCTAGCTGTAGAAACCTATCGTACGAAGCCGGCGCCCACTCTCGGAAAAGCTGAAGATCTATGAACTTGTGTTCTTGAACTTCGTCTTTTCCACCTTCGCCGCGAGCAGAAATAGTGACAAATTTAATTCGAAAACGTGCTGTTGCTGTACTACTAGGATTGGGATTCGTAGTTGTAACAGCAGGTGCCGGCATTTTGTTGATTTTGTAGTCGTGATGTTGAAGATACAACAAGATTTACAAACAGAAATTTGTTTACTTAGACATAGACGCAAACTTCTAGAAAATTGGGAAAAATATCCTCACGGGATGAAACTTAATGATCGATGGATTACGTTTTTGCAAGACAGTTGTCAATCCCGATTCTGGTGTGGTTTTAATCTCGATCCGCTCAGAACATGATCGGTATTTTTGTTCTCTTTCCTGGTTACAACATAGATCAGATGTTCCTCTTGCCCGATCCGTTACTTTGCCGCCAGGAGGTTGACGAGGCAAAAAGCACATCACGTGTTAACATCAACAAGAGAACACCTAATAGTAACAACGGCGCTCCTTCGCTACCAGTCTTGCTCTTTCTAGCAGACCTTCTCCTGTTCTAATAGGGAAAAAGCTTCTATTTGTTCTACACGACACTCAGTAAAAAATAGAATGCGAGAGGATTATTCATAGCTACGGGAGTAGACTTGCTGCTCCTAAAAGAGGAACACGAGGTCGTCATCTTCATCCTTTTCTAGGCTTTATAAATTTTAATAGAATGTTGATTTTTTTCAAATAAGTAGGTGGGAAGGGGTTGTTGGTGGACTTGGACTACACATCTTGGACAAAGATACTCAAGATTCAAGCAGCAACATTGTAAAAAGTCTTCTACTCAGTAGTGACTAAGTCAATCAATCAGGAGGGGGCGAAGCGCGGTTAAAATCAAGTGTAGTCGTATAATTTCTTTTTTCCATATAGTCACTATATGCCACGGCCACCGCCCATTTAAACAATTAAACACATCAGTAGACAAAGCGAGAGTCGAAATCAGATTCAGATCATTCAGACTCAAGCCGCACCCTGTTTCCCCTGGCGGGCGCAGTCTACAGGTTCGTTGTTCTTCATCAATAAACCAAAACTATTTCAAATATCATCGAATATTTGCAGTTTGATAATCATGAAGTTGATGGGACCTCGACCTTGAAAATACAGCCATTCACGTCCAGTCTGAGAAGTCATGCGTTGAGTGCGTTTAACGTCTGCTCATGAGGTGCTCTCTTTCTGGGGGCGAAGCGCGGCAGCCCGACTAAAGCAGGCGTTTTTTTTTCGTTAGAACTATATGCTGCCTCCCTTTTAATCAGTTTTTAAACACTGCTCGTCACGCCTCATTTTATTTCATAATTATCATGATACAAATGTTCTTGTAGATGAATGCCTAGTCTGTAGAAGAAGTCTACTGAGAAGTCTGTACCACAACCAGCACGTTTCTTTTTCTAATAAGAAGGAACAGGATCTGTTGCTGAGCAACAGAAGCCTGTTTTCGTTTTGCTTTTCCTCATCTGATTCTCAAACTCAACCCTGACGTAGTTTTAATAGAATCTAAAGAAGATGAGTTTAAGGTCGTTATTCTTATTGACTGATGTACCCTCTCGCCTGGTGTAGGCAAGCGCTGCTCTTCCTGTACTTATGAGCGTAGTGCTCTTGTCTTTGAAGAGGATCAAGCTCAAGCTCCTCAAGAGGGTTTTCCATACTAAGCGTAGCCAGCTACTTGATCTACCGTCTACAGACGGACCAAGACTAATAAGATGTTGACATCAGGACCTTCAGGAGTCAGATGCACTTCTGCAATGAATCGCCTATTTTGAGAAGAGGGCGACTCCTGATTTGTGTTTGGAGGATTGCGGAATGGATGGCTCACGTTAGTTCTAACGAAGATCATGCTCTTTGCTTTATCTTCTATCTATTTTTGTTCTTGTAAATTACAACTTTATACCAAGACGACAGCTAGACAGTTTCTTCTACGGACGACAAAACTAAAGGTAAAGAGAAACGACATGATGGGGACGGCAACATTGTTTGTTCCAATCTCTACTCCTTCCTACTCCTAGCTAGTCTTGATAGTACTCCCAGTAATGATCCTATTTTTACGTTTAGACCTAAACGATCTGAGAAATAGAAGAAGTAGCAGAGTGGGACGTGGGCGGTTACTGGTGCTGCGCTGCACCAGATTAAAAAATGGTAGAAATTATTGATAACCTCATCATCATTAGATAGACCAAAGCCCATATACTTCTTCTAACCGAAATCTTCTTCTATCCGCTCTGATGGTCTTTATCTGTTCTTGATTTTTTAGTAACCGTAATGATGTCAATGTTGAGCCTAGCTACTACCAGCATGTATGTGAAAGCACCAGTCCGAATCCGCTTTGGAGGATCAAGTACATCGTATCTATAACTACATGATTTTTAAACATAATTAAACATTTATACATATTAGTAAGTTGTCAACAGGTTGTGGTTGTTCATTTACTTGTTTATACTTATGGTCCTCTACTTGTTGTTCAACTTCAATAGGCTATTAGAACTAATCTTTGCTTCTTCTTTTGTAGTAATCTTCACGAGGAAACAGCTAAGAGGAACAATTAGGAACATATCAAACCAAAATCCTCTTTCACTTTCAAAATTCATAAAAGTAAGAGATTAGAGGCTGACTCCATGTAAGTCGATCCGCCCCATACGTGGCTGCCTCTGTTTCCTCCGAGAAAAAACAAAGGAGACAAAGCAGCGGCAGACCATCCCGCGGCGTGGGCCTGCTGCCATGCTGCAGCACGACTGATGGACTCCGAGGAACGGCGCCCCACCTTTGTAGTAATCTTCACGAGGAAACAGCTAAGAGGAACAATTAGGAACAACTACTACTTATTAATGTTGTGCTACTTATTAACCTCGATAGTTTTTAGCTTGTATGGTCGTCCGTGTCTTCCATCGAGCGAAAGGAGCCACTACTTCGCGTACCAGAGTTTCGGTTTCGCGCGGCCGGCGCAGAGTCGCTAATATCGTGGAAGTGCTCGTCCGCGTTGCCTCCTCCCTTGTTTCTCGTCCAGCTAGTTGGCGTACTCGCTTTCCTCGATTGTGCTGCGGCGCCTAGCGAGGGGTAGTCGCCTTCATGTTTAGTGTTTGCCTTAATTCATCCTGAAGAGCATCTTTGGCGTCCTTTCCCCTTACTTAGGAGAAGGCCCCAAGATGCTTCGCAAGATGAATTAAAGGAAGCCTTAACATTCAGGATTACCGTGGAAGATGAACCCTTCTCCACTCGCCACCCCTTCTTCTGCGTGTCTGGGGGAGGCGCGTTGTTGTCCTTGCTTGAGGATGGACCCGTGTTAGCCGTGTTACCCACTCCTCCAGACGTCGACACGACATTCGCATTACCTGTTGTACCACTAGCTCCAGCTCCGCTCTCTTTGTCCGCGGTCTGCTTGTTCTCGTTGATGTTGTTCTCTGATATAATAGTTTGTGTTTTTTTTAGAGATACGAAGGCATGTCGAGAACGATATTTGGTACAGAACTACTTCTAGATCAACAAGCAAAACAACATCGGCTATCAAAATCTAGTTCATCTAGTACAACTAACAGTAAAAACATGTATGATATTTATAATACCCAGAAGTAAACTTGTTTTTACGGGCTGGGGGTATGAATAAGAGTTGTGTGCCAAGACCTGATGCTCATGTGCTTGTTGTGGAAGGTGTTCAGGATGAAAGAAAAAACAGGCAAAAAAATGAAGAAAAAATACTTAAATGTACTTTTGTTGTTTTTTTTTCTTCCTGGCGTTGTCGTGGTCTCTCCGTCTTCGCCACCTTTGTTCTTATCTGCTCCTCCTCCTGCCGAGAACGATCCATAAGCAGTCGGCGCAGAGGCACGATTGTTGCCACCAGTCTGGTTGCTAGTCTTGGGTCCTGCGTTAGGTCCTGTTCCGTTCATGTTGGGATTACTGGACACTCGCTGGAGTTGTTCGCCTTTACCCTGACCCTGAGGACCTTGAGATGAAGCACTGCTTGTCCAGGAAGCGTTGTTACCTCCTCCACCTTGATTGTTCAGGGAAGGGTTGCTATTCTCGTGCTGCATGCTGTTCTTATTCTCTTGCTGATGTTGTCTATTCTTGTTTTTCTTATTCTTGTTGTTGGAAGGCGGACCACCGGGACCAGAGTTAGGTCCACCAGACGCTCCTCCTGCTGAGGCATTCGCATTACCCGTTACGCCAGCAGAGTAGGTTCCACTACCGGGTTGAGGACCCATTGGGGACGAGGAAGGAGAAGGCTTCCCACGCGCGGACAAAGAGCCTCCACTGCCCCCGTTGGAAAGGTCTTGCTGATGTTGAGAAGAAGCGTTGTTGTGTCTACCACTCCCGGGAGCTGCACCTCCGGATAAGCTGTTGTAAGAGGAACTTGAGGCAGAGGGATGGTTCTTGGAATGGTTCTTCAACATGCTATTGTTGTAACTAGATGACGAATAATCATGCTGCTCTCCTGGAGAAGCTGCGCTACTGCTCTTACTTCCCGAAGTATTGACGTTAATGTAGGAGCTGCTCCCCGCCGAAGAAGATTGCTGCAGCATGTTCTTGCTGTTGTTTCCACTCTTTCCCCCACCGGCGCCAACAAGAAGAGCACTGGTGTTAATATTACCTCGCTTATTCATCCTAGGATCGACGTCATTGGCATGATGCGCGTTCCAATGCTTATCTCGGACATGACTCCACATCTCATCATTGTCAGCGGCAGACCATCTGCTCTTCGGAGTGGCCTCCGCAATGCTGTGGCCACCTTGCTGTAGTGGACCTCCACCGCCTTGATGATGTTGCTGACCACTGCTAGTCGTGTAGTTGTCGTTGCCTCCAGGTCCACCCATAGCCATTGAAGAAGAGTTTCCTCCAGCGCCACCCGTGACACCATACTCTTTTCTCCCTGAAGACCAGCCGCTAGGTGAAGATGCTTGCCACGACGCCTGCGAATTTTGGTGTCCCCAACCTCCTCCGAATTTTGAAGAGGAGGAAGAAGCTTCTCGATGGAGCAGGTCGGAGGTAGACTTGTTCCCGCTAGAGGAAGCAGCACTAATGCCGCGATGGAGGTTACTGTTAATACCAGTTGTATTGCCGTGATAAGATGAGTTTCCGTCTCCGTGCTTACCCTGGGAGGAGCCATGGTTGTAGTTGTCTTTGCCACTGTGATCTTTCCCATGAAAATTTCCACTATAGCTGTGGTTGTGGTTGTCTTGCTTTCCTCCTGAATTATAGTTGTCCTTGGTACTACTACTATTGTAGCCTCCTCCACCCATATTGGAGGAAGAGTGAGAGTTGTCCTTACCTCCAGGACCTCCATGATGCTGTTGACCTCCTCCTTTCATAGATCCTCCCTTTTGTGTCGACCTTGGGGTAGTGGCGCTATTGTTGCCTCCATGAGGGTTGCCATGTTGGTTGCCATGTTGACTGTTGTAACCACCAGGACCGCTCGACATTGAGTTGTTGCCTCCATAGGAGCTGTTACCGCCATGACCTTGGCCGCCAGAATTGTTATACGACGAGTTGCCGTGCTCCTTGCCTCCATGGTAGATAGGGTCGCCTTTGCTCTGTATCGCCGACGATGACGTAGATCCACCTCCCATATTGCTGTTGTTATATCGAGAGGAACCTGCTGGGTTAGGGACCACAGTACTATTGTTGTTGTTACCTCCTCCTCCCACATTGCTGCTGTTGTACGGGTTCGTTGATCCTCGACCTGAACTGCTACCGCCTTGGTGCCACGACGTCGAAGAGTTGTTAATATTACCCGCATTGCTACTTCCTCCATGTGGAGGACCACCGTGTTGGTAGAAGTGGTCCCCTTTCCCATTGCTAGAATCCGGAGAACCTGCTTTTGAGCCTCCTCCACGATTGTTGTATTGGTGCATGTTCGAAGATGAGTTGTTGTTGTAAGAGGATGAGGTGCTGTTCATGTTGTGGTGCTGGTTGTTGTTCCAATTGCTGGAACTACTGGATTTTCCACCTCCACCTCCAGCACTAGCTTTGTTGCCGAAGTTTCCAGAGTTTGATCCGGCTCCGCTAGAAGCAGACGCAGAAGTTGGTGGACATCCTCCGCCGAGTGCCATGTTGTCGTTGTCCACATTATTGCTCATTGTACTATTTTTGTTGTCCACATAATTATTGCTCATACTATTGCTCATACCATGATTACTCAAGCCCATACCTCGTCCAGAAGTGGTTATATTCGCGCCACCACCGTGAAGTTCTAGACTATTTTCCCCGATTTTTTGAAGATTTAATGGGGGAATCTTCACTGGGGGCTGCATTGGCGAAATGATCGTGTTCTGGACACCAGCGCTTGCTGAGGCTGAACCTTTGCTGCTGGTAAACGAACTGTTCAGTTGGTCTTTCTTGTTGTAGCTTGAGGATTCATCGTACTCTCTAGGAGAGGATGCAGAAGTGTTGTTCTTGCCATTTTTGGAGGGACCCCCTGCGCTTGAGCCCTTCGCTCCAGGACCTGAACCTCCTTTGTTCATGTTCTGGCTCTTGTCCTTGTTAATAGAGTTGTTGTTGTTCACACTCGAGAAAGCTGCAGCTGGTTTGGAGGATGTCGCGCTAGAGGAATGCTGTAGGAAAGCAGTCGCTTCTTCGACGTTATCGCCAGCGTCGAAAGAGCCAGCTACACCACTTCCAAGCACGGCTTCGGTACTGAAGTGTCGTGCGGCAGCGCCTTTATTGATATTATAGCTGTTGTTTCCAGGCGGGCCTCCTTTTGAAGAGTTTTGGTGTTGCTTGTTGTTGTAGTTGGAGCCTCCTCCTTTGTTAGGACCTCCACTGGGTCCAGGCTGTTGGGATGAAGAAGCACCTCCTGGCCCACCTAACATCCATCCTCCTCCACTGGCACTACCAGAATTATCAAGGCCTCCTTGTTGATCCTCTACCTTAGGGGAAGATTTCTCGACTAGAAGGTCTAGATGCAGAGACTTTTTTCGCGTTTTCTGTTGGGCCTTGCTTTCCTGCAGCTTGCTCTTGTTGGGTCCTGCTTGCTTATCGCTTGGGGAGTCGTCCTTCTGATCTTTTTCTGTCTTGCTCTTATCCCCACTAGCATCCTCGAAAGACTTTTGCTCTTTCAACGATGTTCTTTCCTCAGGAGCTGCCGGCTTGCTGTCCTTGTGGTCATTTGCTGCATCTGCTGGTGCCTTAGTCTTTGGAGAGTCACCAGTTGCCTGTTTGTTAGCACTAGGGCTCTTCTCAGCTATAACGACATCTTCAATATCAACCGCTTCGGAGGAGCCTTTCTTAGCGTCAATACCACGCTTAGGTGAACTGTCAGGCTTTGCCTCCTTGGCCGAAGGTTCGCCGGTCACATTGACGTCGGTCTTGGCGTCGGGGTCACGACCCTTTATTTTATCCCCGTGTTCATCCTCATTGACACACTCATCGTCCTTCTGCTTTTCTCCAGCGTCTTGCTTTTTCGTCGTTGTCGATGGGCAGAGCTCTTCTTTATCCACAGCTCCAGTACCCAATGAAACAACAGCTCCAGCAGTAGCACTAGGACTAGCAGGAGCCTTATGAACTTGAACATTTTCACCCGCCTTGATGGAAGGAGTTGCTGAGGAGGCACCTCCTACCGCATTTTCTTCGGGATCCGTGCCACTGGTCGTGCCTTTTTCAGCTGGACGTGAGTTTTTCTTTGACCACTCCTTGTGCCAATTTTTCAGATTCTGCACGTTCATGTGAATCTCCTTTCCTCCACTCGAATGGCCAGTAGTACTGCCCATGGGCTGTAGTTTCAAGATGTTGAGAGTATGTTCTTCAGATGAAGACGCTTCTTCTTCTATTGAGATAGAGATGCTGTGGTCTTCACATGCTTGTTCTTTTCAAGATAATGTAGTTGAGCAGTGGTCCTCTTTATCCACCACAGGAGCGCAACTTATACAAGAACTACATCTTCATACTATTACTAGATGTATATTAATTATACCTGATCAGCACGTCCTCGCCCATCAAGTACTATCAGAAAAAACCAGGGAGGAAGGGCAAGAAAATAGAAAATAAAATTTCAGTACCAGTTGGGTTGTTTTGTTGCTTTGGCCTGGGTAGTAGAACTGGTTTCCTCTGTCCATGGAGGTGTTGTTAATACTGCCTCCGTTCATATAGCCACCTCCTCCTTGTGCATGGCTCCATTTCTTCATGGCTACGAGAGAAGGAGAAACCTGCATCATTCTTCCTCCATGCGGAAATCCCATCAAGGATCGCGGCTGCGAGGGGGTAGTGCTATCGAGAGCTAACATGTTCACCCAGACGCCTGGACCTGATGTCATGTTCGTAGTTGGAGATAAAGTGGAGGAAGGAAATAGAAGTGAAATCTTCAATCTGAATACAGCAAGCGCTTTCGTCAATTTTTCCTTGTTGTTGTATTGCTTAGTTCATGCTGCGCGTGCACTTGAAACCGATTCTACGTCTACCACTATTACTATAACTATCACTGAATACTAGAAATGACAAATATTACTTATTAAGGTGCTGTAAAGATGGTTGTACCAATCAAAAATATATTGCAAGCAAAAGCAATAGCAAACAGGTAGATGTAGCTCTAGTTGTTACCAAGTGCTTGTTTGTCTTTCTTGCCAGTTTTTGTTTTTCCCTTCTCACTTTGAGGCTCCACTTGATGTTCGATGCCTGCTGACACAGCTCGTGAGCTTTGTGAGTCATCCACAGAGTCGGAACCTGAAGCAATTCAACAAAAAATAAGCTGGCGTAGGAGATGGAAAGACAGATAAGGGCATGATAGAAATGAGCAAGTAGTAGACCTTAGAGATAGAGGTAGAGTTTCAAGAAATGTACTACTGAGACTACAAATAAGATGAAAGGGTATCATTATAGAAATGAGAGGCTAGCAAGAACCAAAGCAAGCAGGTGTATACCAGTTTCTGAGGGTAGCATGTTTCCGCCGGGTGCGATGGGCGGCCTTCGACTTGATCCGAGGCCGATCTTTTTGTTGACGAGTTTTGGCAGTTCTTAGAAGGAGCAAAATGGATGATTATGATATTGACAGGATGCCTTTACAATATGTATGCGTGTATCCCTGAGGGTGCCACTACAATAGAATTAGAAATAGTCTGTTAGATGAACAAGATGTTAAGAGGTAGGGGAACTTCTAGCACACAAGGAAAAGGGGGGACAGAAAGATTGAAGTAGTCGTCCTCGGCGAACTGAGTAATGCTAAAGTAGCAGTATTGAGTCAAGAAGTAAACAGATGTCTTAAACTTTGCTCTTCTTTCCGTCTTCGGGATCCACGAAGGCCAAATCTGCTACTAGTGACACGTGGTCGCTCGGCCAGTCCTTATTCGGCATACTGCGCAACGGGTGTGTGTTGTATTGGTCGCGCGTGAGTCGGTCTTCCTTGAAGATCTGCAAAATCTGATTCACAGTCCAGTGTTTCGTGTACATGATTTTGTCCAATTCGCCGCAGCTGTGGTACACATCGTTGTGCGCAGTGGTAATATCCGGTTCACCATTCGCCATGATGCACCGTGCAGCGCCGCTCACTGCTACCGCGTCATAGGCAGACTCGAAACCTTCGAAACAGGGCTTGGTTTCTTCCCGCACGCCGTTCAAGTCGCCTATGATTAACAGCGGCTCTGCGGAAAGGACCAACTGCTGTTGTTGCATCTGCATATTGGACAACATTCCACAAGACTTGCTAGTTGTTGAAGACGCAGTAGTTCCTCCATGTTGTAGATTTTTGTTTTCCGAGGAGGATGCTGTAGTCGTGGAGCCACCACCCGTTGTCGCTGGTGTAGTCTGGAAAGCGCCTGTGATGGGGCAAACGGAGCTCGTGGAGCTCGTTCCCCCTCCTTGCTCCGGAAGGCTACTGCCGAGGAAGCCTGTGTTGGCTGAAACTCTTTGTGGTCCGATTAGCTCTAAAGCGCGCACCGGATCGAGAGCTGGCGCCATACCGGAAACATGGGTGTTTACCAACTCGAAATCGCGATTCTCGAATTGGAATCGACACCTCTGAAGAAGACCGCCATGCGGGGACATCACATCTGGCGGCGCTCGCAACGCGAGCGGCTGGGAGTCTCCGAGTTTTGTGACCCGATTCTCCTTGTAAAAGACCAGCAAGTGGTCTCGCGAAGTGTCGCTGCGCTTGTCTGTGATGTAGGAATTGAAATCGGTTTGAGAGAATAGCTGAAGGCAAGAGAAGAGTCGTTGTCGCGCTTGTCTCTGTTAGTACTCTTTGATGTGGTACCGAGAAGAATATTAACCAATGAATACCAAATAAGCCAACATGATCAGCATGAGCTCCTAACTCGGAATTAGTAACAGCGGGAAACAAATACAAAAATTAAACTTAAAGATAATATCTTTTATCTTGCTCTTGCTGTTCTGAAAAAGCAGTAGTACGATTCGCCGCCACTTTATATTCTTTGTCCAATTCCTTGGTGAATTCTTCCGCGTGTTGCTCGTCTACCTCCTGGAGACAGATGATATCGGCATTCCACCTCCTGATTTCCTGGAGCATCAACCTAAACCGTACTTTCCACTGAAGAAAGTCGCCTGCTGTCTCGTCCAAAACCACGAACTGGAAGCTGAAACTGTCGCTCAAGTGCTGAGAAAGCACATTGAAGCTCATGACTCGTAAGCAGTTTTCCCTAGCCTCCTTGGGGCCGCAGATGACCCACTCTCTTGGCTGCAACTGCCCAGGCTCAGCCGCGCATTGCTTTTCGGCGTATTGCCGAGCCATGTTATAGACTTGCTGGAAGGGCTCGTTGAACCTGGTTTGCAGAAGTTGTTTTAGTACTAGATTTAGGGGGAGTAGTACCAAAACCGAACATAGTTGTAGAAATATAGTACGACATAGTAAGTTGAAGAAAACTGACGAAATGACGAAAGCTTACAGGTTATTTTTAGTACGCGTACTAGAGCCTGAACAGCAAAAATGCAAACAAGAGCATATTCATGTTGTTATAGTACTTTGTGAAGGATATTTTCCTCGTTTCCTTGAAGTTGAGCCGTTTGTGAATGTCCCAGAAGACGCGCATGTTGAGGGTATAGCTGTGAATCTCGCTGAAGGGCGCATTCTGTTCGATTCTCGTTCGGCACTTGGCTACGTACCACTGCTCTATCGTATGGGGATCCCAATCAGCCCATGGGGCTTCCAAGTGCATGTAGTTCTTCACGTTGTCCGGTGCTGCCTCGGGAGGGTCGCGGAAGAAGGCTAGGGGGACTTCGGATTCTTGACTAGCTTGGTGCCATTCGTGGAAACGGCTCATGTAGGGATTAGAGGAAGTCCAAGTCTGAAAGTCTAGTTGTAGTTTTATTTGAGATTCTTGGGGACCATATTCAACGAAGGCACAGACCAGTGGTCGAGATTAACAGGAGGTCCACGAAAAAAATCCAATGAGAACACTCACCTACTTGTTGAAAAATTCTCACAATCAAAATCTATACTTTTTTGCCGTAACTAATTGGCCCAAAACAACCGCAGCAGCCGGATCTGTAGGATCTGGAAGCGGGATCAAAGGCCCTTGGGAGTTGATCACGACACCGCGTTTAAGGCTTTTCACCAACCAAGCTTGAGGGTTGGTCTCCGTGTAGTTGGATGCTGCGTTGTTTTTGCTGTTCTTCCTATTCTTACCGCCTTTCGCGCTCCCAGTAGGACTTCCAGGACTAGAGGTGTTGCCACCCTTGTTGTTGTTCCCAAGAGCAAGAGCTCCAGTGTTTTTCTTCTTTGGCACGTGGGTCTTGATCTCCAAGGTTGGTGCGGGACTGGTGGCTTGGAGTAGATTCTGGGGAATATTTGTGTTCTGGCCATGTTGTTGTTGATGTTGTCCTGCGTTGTACTGGGCCATAGATGCGAGTTGGCTGCCGCTCGCACTGGTTCCTAGGCCTCCAACCTGTTGCAGATTACCTCCTTGCACGTTCCCAAGTGCACCTGGCATGCCTCCAAGAAGTCCTCCCATTCCCAGACCGCCCATGCCTCTTAGTGGCCCTGCTCCCGGTGGCGAGCCGGCGGGCGTTCCGGGTACTACTACTCCGTTGTTTAGGTGGGATGAAAAATCCATGGGATTCTGGAGGTTGCCCATCTGCAGGTTGCCCCCTCCTAGCATTTGTTGCATGTTCGGGTTAGCACCAGGAGGCAGACCACCTAGATGACCTGCATTCCCTGTATTAGGCATCGGAGGCAAAGGCAAGAGCGCTCCACTAGTAGAGGTTAGGAAGTTGTTACCTCCTGATAGGTTGGAAACAAGTGCGCTACCTGGTCCTCCACCGTTTGCTGCACCAACACCTACTCCAAGGTTGCCAGCTAGGCCTCCTGCTGATCCTCCTACACCTACTCCTAGGTTGCCACCAGAAGTAGCTACTGGAGTAGTACCTCCTAGAAGGTTGTTTCCAGCACCTCCTAAAGAACCTCCAGTTCCACTTGCGAGTCCTAACCTTCTCAAAAGTTCACGCTGTTCTTGTTCTTTGAACTGTTGCTGTAGGCCTTGCATGGTTTCTGGATCCATACTGTGCCCTAAAGCTTGCATCCCCAAAATTTGCTGTTGGATGGCATCTAGTTTATTTAGTTGTTGTGTAGTTCCGCTTCCGGCTTGTTGCGGCTGATGTTGGGCTGTTCCCATGCTGGAGGAAGAACTAGCACCTCCTGCTCCACTCCCTGGAACAAGATTTCCTGTTTGCTGGCCTCCTGCACCTGTGCCAGAGAGTCCTGTTTGCCCACCTAGAAGATTCCCCGTACCAGCACCACCCCCTCCTAGAAGATTCCCCGTGTTTGTGTTGGCGTTCATAAAAGCTGCTGACAAACTCATGTTCATCATACCAGTGGAGGATGATGAAGCTCCGCCTGCAACTCCTAACATATTGTTGAGGTTGGTTGTATTCGTATTGATGTTAGTACCACCTCCAGCTCCACCACCACTAACAGCACTATATTTGGCAGCACCTCCAGCCGCTCCTACTATAGTACTTCCAGAGGCGGCTCCTGCAGTGTTCATGTTGCTCATCTGCTGCTGTTGCATCAGCAAGTTATTCATGAACATGTCTGCTCCTGCGGTTCCTGAAAGGCCTGTTAGGTTCGCATTAGCATTCCCCATCATCAGATCAGCTTGCATTTGATTCAACTGGAGTTGCTTTTGGAGTAGCTCAGGGTTGTTCAGTAGCGCGGGGTTTTGTCGTATTTGCTCCATCAGCTGCGGCGTTACCATTCCGCCAAGCTGAGCTTGAGGACCCTGTCCAATCGACGTCACAAACTGCTTACCTCCTACAGAAGCTCCTCCGGCTGCGCCAGAATTTGTTGTAGTACCTCCTCCAGCTGTAGCTCCTAAATTGGCGACATTTATGTTGCTATTGCTCTCGCCTCCAACTACCGAAGTTGTATTCGTTGTATTAGAGGAGTGAGGTGATTGCTGTGGGTTTTCTACACCTCCTGTCGAGGAAGACGAAGGAGCTCCTGCTCCGCCCACGCCTGTACTAGTATTAGGGACGAGGTTGGTTGATGATGACGTTTGTATTGCGCTGTTTGGCTGACCTCCAGATGAAGAGGTGGACTGTTGATGATCTCCACCCGTCATCGCTGGGGTTCCTGGAACTCCTTGAGAAGTTGAGGCCTCTCCCGTCTGTGGTTGGGATGTGACAGAGGCTCCAGAAGCAGTTCCACCCTCTTGCGGTGAGCCGCCAGGTAGAAGCAAATTGTTACTAGCTGCAGCTATGGCACCAGGAGCACCTTGGCTATTTCTAGCATCTTGACTATTGCCCGCGCCTGCTCCTCCTAGTTGGTTATTATATTGCTGCTGCAGACCGCCTCCAAGGCTAGACGAGGTGTCGACTTGCGTCCGTCCTGGAGTGGGGGCTCCTGTGGTGCTGCCATCGGTCACTGACGCGTCCAGCAAACCACCGGTCCTAAGACCTCCCCCAGGAGTCATTTGAGCTGCTGCTAAGGTTGTGGAAGAGGAGGTTGCGTTTTGTTGATTGTCGTTCGTGTTCGTGTTCATCGGTCCAGCACTATTTGTTTGCTGTCCCTGTCCTCCACCACCTGCACCTCCTATTTGTGAAGACTGATTAGGGGCCGCTTGCGAGATCCCAGAACTTGGCTGTGTCGCTGATGAGAGACCAGTGCCAGAAAGGAGTTGACTATTGTTCATACCTCCTCCAATCTGTTGCTGTTGTTGACCTCCTCCAGTCGCAACGGGTAACAACAATTGCTGATTATTCTGCTGATTGTTTGTGTTTCCAAGACCCTGCTGTTGAAGCTGTGAGGAAGCATGATCCGCATTCTGAAACTGAATGCCAGCTAAGGCTCGCTGCACTTGTTGAGGGTCCATTTTTTCTAGAACCTGAAGTGCTTCACCAATATTGGTTCCACCTTGGTTGTTGAGTTGGAGCCCTTGTCCTCCTAGACCGCCTAATTGCTGCAGTCCACCAGCACCCTGTTGCTGACCTTGTTGGAGTTGGAGTTGATTCTGCTGTTGTTGACCTGGGCCAAGGTTGTTCATCTGTTGCTGACCCTGCTGCAGTTGTCCACCTTGTTGTTGACCTTGCTGTAGTTGCTGTTGGTTCTGCTGAGCTGCAGCCATAGCTAGGTATTGCTCCACACTATTGGCCCCTCCTGCTCCTGCTGCTTGGTTCTGTCCCTGTTGTTGGTCTAGCTGTATCGCTAAGCTCTGAATCAACTGCTCTACTAGTGGATTTCCAGCACCAGATTGCATCAGTGCTCCTAGAAGTTGGTTGTTCATCTGCCCGTTCAGATTATTGACCACGCTCATCTGTTGCTGTACCAGTGTGCCACCTAATAGACCTCCACCAGCAGCCGACGATCCTGAGGATGGGTTGCTCGTCCCTAGTGGTTGACCTGCTTTGTTGTTCCCTAGATTTCCGAGTTGTCCACCTTGTTGACTACCAGGCATGCCATGATTGGGGAGATTGTTCTGACCCCCTCCTGCTCCGAGAAGCTGCAGACCTCCAGAAAGTCCCTGTTGCTGCGCATTCAACATGTTCATCTGCTGCAGTTGTTGCTGAAGTTGCCTCTGTTGCTGCAAATCTCCTCCTTGCATTTGCATATTGTTCTGCAACAGTTGTTGAATCTGCAATTGATGCTGTTGTTGGTTTTGCTGTTGAGTTTGTTGACCCTGTTGACCGCCTAGAGCATTTGATGCTGCAGCATTTGTTGATGCTGCAGCATTATTAGGAAGACTAGCATTATTAAGATGAGTGTTCTGACCTCCTGCTCCACTTGAAGCACCACGATTTTGTAGTGAAAGTGGTCCTAGTTCGCCAGGAAGTAAGGGTCGTCCCATGGGTAAGGCGTTGTCTCCACTCGTATCGCCTCCACGAAGCTCTTCTATCATCTTCTGCTGCTGCTCTAGTGCCCTCCGCTGCTTCTCCTGCTCGCTATCGAGGCCGCCCAACTGAGTGTTGAAAGAGGTTACTTATTTATGTTAATGTTTTTATTTGAGAAAGATCAGATTCGTCTCTTTGAGTTTTATGAGCATGATTCAACTGAAAATGTAGAAAATTCGTTGTGAATATATGAACGTCCTTGCTGCAAATTCAATGTCTTCAATTTGTTTCGAATTCAAACGTAGGAAAAAAAGCCCTGTGTGTGTTGAGTAAAGATGAAATGGAGTAAGTACCTCCGCACCCCCAAGAACGCCACTCTGCATCTGCAACTGTTGCAGCATAGTATTTGTGTCTACCTGCGACAGAGAGATACCTGGTGGTTGAGCGTGAGAATGAACATCTTTGGAAATCGTATCGTCAAAGTCAATCTATCAATTATGTGCTTCAGTATCGATTGATTGATTGATATGCCTGACAAGAGGTTGGTTTGGGAGAACTTTTTCTTTGTTACATTAGGACTATATAATGCTGCCTCCCTTTTAGGAAGGAAGAGGAAAATCGACGATGTTGATCCCATTTTTAATGAGGTTGACGATGAGTACCAGATGCATCGTTTGGGTTTTGGAAGCTTAGGCTCTGGAGTAGCTGCTGCTGTTGCAGTAGCTGGTTTACTCCGTTCTGGCCGATTTGGTTTGCTCCTAGTTGTAGCTGACCAGCAGCACCAAGTTGCAACATGGTTCTAGCATCCTGCTGTCCACCTAGTCCTTGGCCTTGTTGTCCAACAAGAGGCCCACCTCCCTGTTGTCCGGTCAGACCTTGACCTATAACGCCGTTGAGCTGGAAAAGTTGCAGCTGTTGGTTCTGACCTTGTTGACCACCTCCAGGTATGCCTCCCACGACTCCTTGACCTCCTAAGAATCCACCAGCAACAGCGTTGGTGCTGTTGTTGTTCATGAGATTTCCTGCGGCAAATGGACTCAAACCAGGCGTCCCCTTTCCACCTCCACCGTTACCGCCTGGGTGGTGAAAAGAAGACTGACCACCTTGCTGCTGATTTCCTCCTAGTCCGCCTTGTGAGTTCCCGCCTAGAAGTCCTCCACCTTGTTGCCCGCCGTGTTGCTGTGTTGAGCTCCCTTTATTTGTACTACTTCCTGCTGTACAACTACTGCCCGTCGCACCGCGACCGTGCATCGGAGTCACAACAGGTTTTGGCGGGTTCAGGTTCCATCCGGCTCCACTAGGAGTACTAGGGTGATTTCCAGCAGAACTTGATGTTGGTGTGTAGCCACTAGACGCGGTGTAAGAATTTTGCTTTCCTCCAGCTCCCACGTGCACGGAGTGCACGTTATTGCCGCCACCCCCTCCACTGTTCATCTCGAAATTAGAAATAGAATTGTTGAAAGCGCTACACGCTAGAGGTAAAAACGAACCGGTTGTTTTTTTACTTATTTTCGAAACTAGAAATAGAACAATTATACAAGAACTACATTGATGGCATTTCCCCCCCAGCAGAGAAGATTTACGTGGTCTATAATTACAAGAAGATACCGATGAAAAACCTTTTCTCAAAAAATTGCCATAAGGTTAAATCCAGACTGCTCTCCTCCGGCACCAGGACTCCTGTTGTTCTTGGTCTTGTTCTCCTTATTCTTGCCCTTATTCCCACGACCGCCTTTTAGGCTCTGGTAATCAGTACTACCCGTACCAGATGTACCTGAATATGGGACACGAAATGTAGGTCGTGTTGGTGTTGTCGATGTCGTTCATTCATGTCCTCCACCCTGACTCAATTTTTTTTTGTTTGTTACCTGGGTCTACGAATTCCCGCACTTTGTTACCTGGGTCTACGAATTCCCGCACTGACTTAATCTCGAAGTCACTAGAGGGCAGTACTCAACCACCGTGGTGATAGAAAATGAAGAAGCTGCAAGACTAACAGACTGCGTTCGTTGCTTTCAAAAAAATCAAAGTAACAATGATGATGATGATGATGATGTGTAATATTAGAGAAAGAAAATAGTAAAAATATTTCTCAAATTATACTGCTTTTCCCTGCCACCGACGAAGTTGCCCTACTGAATTGCCTCTGGGTGTAGTCTATGCGATTTGACGTGTCGCGGTGAAATTGGGAGGTCATTATGTGTGGGTCGGCGTAACCATCGTTGCTCCAGTGCTGACCACTCTGTTGTGTCGTACTTCGGTCCATCCCGCTACCCCACGAAGAGGTCTGATCCGCTGCAGAGGTAGACTTATTACTTTCTTTTCCCCCGCCCCCACGTCGAGAAGACGCACTTTTGTTGTTATTGTCCCCACGAGGGCTGTGAGCCTGATGAAGGGGGTGTTGAAACAAATAAAACGAATAGCAGTTGTTCGAGTTACAGAAGAAATTTTGAATTCTTTTTACACATGTAGATGAACAGTGTTGGTCCGTCTCGACAAAATAAAAAAATGAATACTACACGCTAATTTCATCAGCGGGTGAAAGTAAATACGCCTTTCTCTGCTTTTCCGCCACCCCAGTTGGAGTGCCACGATGATTTGCCTCCTTCCTGATCCATCTTGGACAATGTTCTTCAAGAATTCAACAAAATGGGGACTCGATGTTCTTTACTAGCAACACGTTATCCGTCGAACCCCCGTTTGCGTATCTTACAACAACAAGTGCAGATGGTCGGGTTGGTGTGCAGCTGTGCTGCTTATGGGACGTCTCCTTTTTAGGGTCTTTCTTTTCGTCTGATATTGAGGAGCATTAGGAGAAAGAGGGCTAGAGGAGGAAGTAGCCAAGTCCAAGATGAAGAGCCTGTAACTATTCATGATCTTTCTGTGGGTGTCTCTGCAGCACGAGTGCGTCGCGACAGTTGTGACTGAGACTATCTTCTGAACCTGGACGTTCTTCTTCTTGGAGGTCAATAAATCTTCTACTAGAACTATGGTGCCGCTGCATTGAGGAGGAGGTGAGGATCGTCGTGGTAGAGGTGAAGATGGTCGTCGAGGAGCTCGCTGGAGGTGCTGAAATAAAAGGTCCTGGTGCGCAATCGTTGAAGACATCAATAATTCATCTGGATCATTTGATGAACGAAATGACATCGTCTTCTTGCTCCTCCTTCATCTGCTGCTCCCCCTCCTGCTGGTGGTGCTCTAGCTCTTGTTCGTCATCGTCGTGGAGGAGGTCCTTCGTTTGCTTGTTCTTGATGCTCCACGAGGACTGATGTTCCCACGAAGTAGTTGCCCTCCAACTCAGCAGGTGCAGGACAATTTCACAAAATTTAATAAATTGTGTAGACCGGCGTCACACTCAACTACAAAAGACCACCACCTTACCTCCTCTGGCTCTGCGTCGTGCTATTCACGTCAAGTCGATGAAAATCGGATAAAGACGATAATCACAAGTCACGACGAAGATTCAATAAAAAATAGATGAACAAGAATAGGTTGATTTTTTAGGTGAGGAAGCAAGTAGAATTCGAAAAGGAAAATTGAATGAAAAGAAGCTACACACATGAACTACATAAAGACTATAGGTTTAAAGGACCATCGGCTCATCTTCTGCATAACAATATTACACGATTTGCTGCTACCTTGTCGAGAAGGACCTCTTCGAATTCAAAACTTGTTACTTTCTAATATTAACATGAGGACATTTATTTAAGCTTGACACTTCTGCAAAACCTACGCAAAACCAAACTACAGCCACCTATCAATCTTCTTTACCTGGTGAACCTAAGCACGACTAGCGCATAATCCTGAAGAACCTGATCGACCTGAAGATCTTCTTCAACAAACATAAATAATTCAAATAATCACCTCAAAAATTGATTGCCTATCTCCTCTCGCCTCAACCTCTGGGTCTCTGGATTTCTCATTTGTGTATGGCGGTCTCGAGCATAATTTGCGCAAGAAGTAGATACACAATTTTTCAGTGGAACAACAGGGGCATTGATCGTTGCTCCCTAGTAGACTCATGAGAGGAGTAGAAGATGCAGGGTGACCACTGATATAATGGGTATGGCTAGACTACTATCTAAAAATCTACTTCGTTCAGATCGAGTGTTTTTGTACAACTATAAATCATTCATTCATCATATGATTTTTATGTAGGTAATGAAGAAATACCAATTTTTGGTGGAAATGGACTTCTACATTCTTAAGATTGCAATTCTTGCTTCCCACGACCATTGTTTGTATTCAAAATCGTGAAGTAGAACAGCATGATGATTCAGTTTTGTTAATTTTGATTTTTTTAGATGTTGAACAGGTTCTGTAGGGGGAGGCCCCGCAAGAGGAACCGGAAAGTAGGGCGGTAGGTACTATTTAGGGAAACAGAATCAGAATGGAGGTAGTGAAGTCAGGGAAATTCTACTGCCGTCTCCCTGAGAAAGATCATGAAGTTGTATGTTGATGGCCATTCGCGTGGATCGCACTTCAATTTCAATTCAGTTGTTGATATTTCGAGTGCGAGCCTCTGCAGGATCACAGTCAGCAAATGCAGAGAACAGGAGTAGAGACGATTTCTTTGGATTTGGATGTGGAGATTTCTTGCCTTTTTCTCGTGTCTTACAGTCTTTAATATCTTAGCCTCGTTCTGCTTGCGTATATTTATACGGTTTTTCTTTCTTCACCATCTGAAACTTGTCACATATACGGTTTTTCTTTCTTCACCAACTGAAACTTGTCACAACTGTGCTGCGCAGTAGAAAAAATAACTAAGACACGACGAAGATTGATGACGGGATGGACTGCGACTGAATTGGATTTGGAAAAAAAGAAACTAATGAAGATGACTTCTTTGACTACTACTTTAGCAAGAGCTCTACTTGGAAACTAGACGAAGAACAGCTCTACTCTGGTGCATGATTCACCAAGGAAAACAAACTAGGTACTACCGAGGCGAATCTAATATCAAAATATTAACATGATGTTCCTCGAGGATTCTTTCTACAACTACTACATTAAAAACTAGTGGTCTAGCTTTGAGGCACGTCGTGGTCGTGCTTTTCTTCAGTAAAACTATGATTTGATGCTTTCAGGAGTGTGATGGAGCATCGTTGAGGCCACCTACTGCTCCAACGCTGCCGCAAAAGCTCCCGCAGCCACTACACCAACATCCGAAGCAGTAGGTCCAACTGCTGGAACTTCACGACCTTCTTCCTGAAATTTTTTGCAAACTTCAGCTAGCCTCGCACGTAGTGCAGCATTCTGTCGTTCCAGATCGGTGACGCGATCTAGCGTATTCGTGTAGTAGCTGTGCTCCAGTTCCATCAGGGACTGCGAATTGTCGGAATACAAGCCTCTTCCTCGACTTGCTTTAGAAAGTGGGAAAACAAAAAATAAGCTAGACGTTCTAATTGGAGACCACCGAGCCGGAGCGTTCTATTGTTCGAAATAAAACTGAAATAAGCGAGCAAACGAAATATTAAAAAAGAAGGCCTTTAAAGAGTTCTCTCTTTCTTAGGGTCAATTTCTAGTGGGGATTGGGGTCATTTGAACGTCAGACGAAGATAGGGGTAGCGCACCATCTACTAGCAGAAGAATAATTCTAAAATTGGAGACCGAGACGGAGCGTTCTACTTTTTCTTCTTGTTCTTCTTCGTTCCTTGTATGCATGCCCATGCTGTTGTCCCTGTTGCCATCGTTCATGATGACCGTAGAGACGTGGTCTGACAGTATTTCTATGAGACTGGGAACAAGAAACATCAACATGAGAAGAAGCCTTAATACTCGTTCCTCCTCCAATGTGATTGAAACCTCTTGTGCTATTCGAGGACGCAGAAAGTTCATCCACTTCTGACGTTATACAGTAGGCAACGGTCTCAGGGCCAATCTGCAAAATATCTCGATCATGGTCCACACGATTTCCAGTGCCAAGTTGTTGATCAGGAGAGGACGCGGCACTAGACCCGGGAAACGCTCCAGATCCTCCTGTAGTTCCACCATGCTGTAGGAGTAGTTGTTCATACTCAAATCCTCGTACTCGGCCTCTTGCAGAACCAAGATTGTGCTCGTCATTCGCTGACAGATAAGCCGCAGAGGACGTGACGTCTTCCTCTTCACTGCAACTAGAGATGTGGAGGGGCGGCTTATGAGGCGGCGACCCTCCTCCGGCTGCCGCTCGGCGATCCATCAACAAGATTCGTTGTGACATTGCAGGACTGGCGGACCTACTTGCCCCTTGAAGTGTTGGTCGTGGTCCCCCATACACGTTTCTAATGCTTGTTGTAGTAAGTCCTGTACCAGCACCCACTCCATGGCCATCTCCTTGCCCTTCCCGTTCTGAAAATAGAAGAGGCACTCCCAATGGCGCTGACATGCCACTTTGACGTTGATGCATATTGGAAAGAGGACTGGAGGTTTCACTTGTATTTGTCGGGTAGTCCGCTGCATGACCACTTTCACCGCTTGCCGCTATTTGTTGCCCGCGTGACGTGCTACTGCTCCCACCTCGTACTGCCACTAGACTAGTGCCTCTGCTCCTAGTTAAGGGGCGCACAATAGCGACATCCCGTGCACCTCCTCCTCGAGAACTCTGATGTAAAGCCCGCGTCGAAGCCGCTGCTCTACTAACCGATGGAGAGGATGTGGTCTTCTTACCTACGACTGCATCAGTATTGCTCTCGTCTTCATGTAGTTGCTTGTTCTCCCCGCCACCAAACGACCTCGCTACCTCCTCCTGCGGAAAATGTTCTAGCACAGCCCCTTCCGACAAAAGCTGTTGTAATTCCAAAGACCCGAGTTGATACTCGATTGATTGCTGCTCATAGTTGTAGATATCCCCAACTAAAGCCAGGTTTTTCGAATGTGTACGCGATTGACCGACTTGGCTCGCAGCAGGAGAGGAGGCAGGAGTACCGAGGACTTGTAGCTTAGAAAACGAGGCTGCTGGGGAGGACACGAATTATTTAGCTAATGCTAAGTTGAGAGAGCATGTGAGAAAGAAAACGCACATTAAAAAATTCGAAATCGAAATGTTCAATATTTATTATGAATATCAATATTTCAATTCAGGCGATCCTTAGTATTCATTTTCAGCGGGCGTTCTTGGATCGCACGATAGGCGTCAAGATACGAAGCGGACAGTGGTAGTGCTCCTACACTCTTTTGCATGAAGGAGGAGAAGTCGCCTCCAGCAGAAGGGTTCCATGTATCCGGTGGAGGAGTTCTGGCAGGCGGATGCTGCCGAGAACTACGGGGACCACCTTTGTGTTTGTTAGGGTCATCGTATGCATCAACACGATAATTGCGGCGGCGATACTTCATCTGAGGACATCTTCATCAATGCGCCGCGATAAGCTGACTCAAGAACAGAAGATTTCATCTACAACAATGAACTGACAGCGAAGTGTTGTTCCATTCCAGCTCTAACATCCACCTTGCGCTTCTTCTAAATCGATACTTACCCAGAGACTCACTGTATCCGTCTGCAGGTCCATCTCTAGCAGTCGGCAAACTAGATTTCGGTGAAAATGGCGCCTCCGACTCAGTCTGCCTCCTCGTTCCGTTATACAGCTTCACGCTTGTGCTTAGACGATGTACATGAAAATAGCATTGCGTTAGGTGCCACGAAGAGTTGGAAGATGAAAGCCTGTTACTGGTTCAGTTCCAACGCGACGTATAGTCATCTACAAGAACCACTTCCGGATGGAACGGATGGACTTCCCACCATTTCAAGTACGATCGGAAGAATCAGGGGGGTCCATCCGATCCATCCAAGTCCATCCTACATCCGTTCTATAAACTATTCTAACATACGGACCAGTGCCTGTGGTCGTATACTGCCGACGGACCAGTTAACATCTCAACAAGAACGACAACATCAACCCTAAGCCTAATAGCACATTAGTAAAAACCTTAAACCTAATAGCACATCAACATCAGTATCATCTTCTTCATCTGCCTCCTCCCGAAGAATCTCCTCTCTCCTCTCTTCTGCAATCGGACTTCTAGGTGCTCTTGTGTGATCGTGATGTGCATCCCTGGAAAATCGAGCGCTGACTGGTGCACTCTTAGGAACTCCCTTCAGTCCTCCTCCAGCAAGTTGCGAAATCAACGACAAATCGCGAAGTTGTTGACCTCCTGCACCAGCTTTTCCTCTCACATGATTCGCTTTTATCGCTTTATTAGGCAAAACCTTACCCCTGTCTAGTTCGTACAAGATCTCCCTGGCTCGACGACTTACTGGCGGGTCGTCAGGACCCTCTTCCAAATATGCGGGGATGGTTGTTAGAAGTTCGCGATTGTTCATGTTCTATCACTTGGAACAGATTGTATGCGAGGCCAAACAGTGGGCTCACTCTTGTAATGACATTAGACCACCACACTGATGAACCTCCCTAGAAGACCGCATAAAGATTTTGAAATTTCGAGACCATAACATATGTGCCGAATCAAAGTGGCGACTAGTACAGCCCATACACGTAGCAATCCAATCACCCCAGGAGGTTTCTTCTTGCTCCTCACTGTTCTGATGTGTGTGTTGTGGAGAGCCACCTCCGAAGTCCGTCCTTGCTGACCCTGGAGGGCCATCCCGCGGCGAGCCTGGAATGGCAGTCCCAGGTGCAGCTGCTGGACGACCATCGTCTCCACTGGTGAAGAGAGGAAATGAAAGTGACGATACATGTCTCACGACCTTCAAATTGACTTGGAAGTAAGACCGACATGATCACTAGAAAGAACTAACACCGCAAATATTCGAAAAACTGAAATAAGCAAGTAACGGATCAGAATAAGCGAGAGACTAGCCCTGATGTTAAGCTATAACCTCCCTTTTTTCAGTCAGTAACTCGGTTATTTTGACTTTTCGAATATGACCACCAGAACGAACATAAAGCCGGCTTCGTTGGATCGTTTAAGTCTAGGCCTTTCCGTGCGAAGATTCCAAAAGCGACCCGTCTCAGCGTCGGTGGCACCGAGTACCATACGGTGCGAAGGTCTTGCAGTAAGTCGCGGTAATTCAAAGCTTGTGCACGCCAATCCGCATTTTCGTGAGACAATCGAGAGACCTCTTCTCTCAAGGTGACCACAGCACGATCAAGTTTGGGAACCAGAACCGAACCATTACCGTGAGTAGCTGCTAAGGGAGAAGTGGTGTTAGAGTTCGCATTCGCTGTGGGTTGCGGAACCTGAAGCTGCTCCTGATGCTGAGGAAATCAAAAAAATGGCAAACTGAAGATGCAAGCATGTCAAACTGTGCTGGTCGAGACTCTCACTTCCCAGAAATGCCTTCTTCTGTCTTAACTGTACTCGTGCTATTTAACGTGAGCGGCGGCACTTGCTTTGCTTTTGCTGCAGTATCATCCGGAGAACCGCAAGCTCCCACGGCTCCTTCGTGCGGCGCTCGTGGCGTAGTCGATGTAGAGGGGCTCCCCATGGTATCGGACTGCCCTCGGCTCAGAGGGCCCATGTCACATAAAAATGTCTAGAACATCATAATGTCTGCAGAAATAGGTGACAACTGTCGTGGTACAATAATGAGTCTGCAAAAAAGACATAATGGAAAGGCTGGGCTTAGGAAGCGTTGCATTTCGCAGTATGTCACGACGAACAACTACACGGATTGTTGACAAGACCCACGTCGACAGATGCGGCATGTATTGGGTTGCGATCAAAATACGTAATAAACTTGTGTTCATTTCGTCGTCCAACAAGTTGAAACACCAATATCATAAATTGAAGGTCGTGAATGCCGAGTATTCTTTTCTACTTATGTTGAGAAGTACTGAAGGAAACATTTCCAGCACTTCCTCGATGTGCGATGGCGAGTATTCTACAAATTATCATCATCATGGTTCTACTTGTTTCATGTTCATGTAGTATAATAGTAAGCCCTCAGCATGTTGATGCTGAATATTCAACATCACGATTTATGAACAAGATGTTGAGTCATTTTATGGACAACGAAACCTGTGACGACTGCTGATTCTTCTACAAAAATGCAACAAGAAGCGAAGGCAGTAATCCACCAAATGTAGTAAGAACAAAGACTGAAGAGAAGTTGTGATTCTATTTCATCTGACGACCACTATGTCGCGGCAACATGTTGAACATTTTATCTGTAGTAAGTATTATAGAACGATTCAGTGGGAGACTGACAGAGACTACGACTAGCAGAAAAACGATAGTATGTTGAAGCCCAAAATCAACACCGAAATCAGAATGCCTACTCAAACTTATACCTGGTGTTCTCCTTCTACTTTGTTTCATGGTAAGTGATTACTTTTACTAGCAACATGCTGAACGGATATTGAAAATGTTGACCTCGAAGAGCTACTGCTACATCATGTGTATGTGAATCTATTTTACTTATTTCAACTTGATATGCGATGAAAAATGACTAGAACTGCTAACGTCGTCCCTGAAGAGTCATCGGCACTCTTTTTCTACTCTTCCTACTCCCCCGGTAGTCACCTTGTCGTCCTATATCAACCACATCAGGAGGCGAAAAATTACAATTACTACTTCTGAACCTTTACTTGAAAACTCAGTTGACCCGCGAAAGTATCAAAACTACTAATCTAACAATGTGAGCTGTAACTAGTACGAAACCATCAACGAACGATTACGATTGGACACTGGTGCTAAAACTGATTCAACCAAGTACTTCCACTCTGAATTTGATGAGATTTCATGAAAATGAAATCTTGAGATTTAATTTCAAATTCTGCCGTTGTTTTCTACTACTTTTTTTGCTTCAATGTGCGACTTCTTCAATGAACGGAATGTTGTCTACACAAAGCATAATGATCACTTTTCACTTTCTTGTCGTTATGGTTATCTCCTTACACTCCCGATACCGTTCTGTATCCCCTACACGCCCGACAATGTTCTGTATCCCCTACACTCGACCCGATAGTGTTCCTACACTCCCGATAGTGTTCTGTAGCCAGGCCAATCTGATGGAGCTTCGAAGTCGTACTGTTGCATGTAGTTCAGCAAGCATTGACTTGGTCCATCCAACGTTGTAGATGAAGAGCCTCCGATCGCTTTTTTGTTGTTCTTAGAGGAAGTACTAGTAGCAGAGGTACCTACTAGAGCACGGAAAAACATAATACCTGCTGCTCAAATTATATTGTTATCCATTTCAACGGTGATGATTTTAGTTGACTCAAAAGATTGTTAGAATTCAGAGTCCATACGGAGATCACGATTCTTAATTTTCACCATCGCTGCGTGGTGGCGCGCGCCAGGCTGTCTAACGGGCGACGCGGTCATCGTTCCGTCTGCAAGTCGTTTCCTGGAAAGCCATGAAATGTCCTCTTCAACCGCTGCCTCCGGGACATATCGTTGAAACTCTTGCAGTTTCTGCTTAGCCACACTCCACTCGCCAGACTCGTAATTCACGAAAGCCATACCGAATCGATGATGGAATTCGGCGGCTGGTGGTGGGGGGTTGGAGAGGAACGAAAAGTTTGTGCTTGACAAGTGGAACAGAAACAAGGCTCTCTCAACCACAAAGTTCTGTCAGGAAATACGTGTACGAGTCCCTACTCGGGCAGAAGAAAAAGAATCTTCGGCGAATAAACTACAACACAATGTCTGGATCTCAAAATAATAGAAATACTGAAATTCTCCGTCATCGTTCGTATGTCGACGTCGCTTCTAAACTCTTCGTAGGGATCGAAGTCTTCGTCCAATAGGAATTTTTCTTTGCGGTTTTTTAGAAGACGAGACCATAGGACATCTTGAAGGGATTTATCTGCTTCGAATGAGTAGGCCATGGAAAAGGACGGGGAGACGGTCCCGGTCGTGGTGTATGATAAATGGAAGCAGTCGTGGTCGGTTCAGTCATGGTTTAGGCCGCGCAGGAGACCAAGCCGCCTCATTATTAATTATGGGAATTCATTAGTAAAGAAGATGGTTCAGAGAAGATCCATAACTGTTCCCTTGCCATGCGCATATTGAATTCGTCTTTTTTTGTCAGTTTCTGGCCATTGAAGGTGCTGACCTTCAAATTCTTCTCCGCTTGTCCCTCTGCATTGACCCGTCGACCAGCTATGCTTAGAAGTAGAAGATAGAGTAGAAAAGAAGAAGATCACGATACCAACCCCAACACGTATCGCTAGTACAAGTTGAGCTTCGTTCGCTCAAAACTTCACGATACCAACACGTATCGCTAGTACAAGTAAGTTGAGCTTCGTAGCTCGCTCAAAACTTATAGTATTCTTATCAACTTCTGTTCTCTAACTTCAAACGTGAGATAGAGATCAATTACATCAAAACTAACTCCATAATTTCCCAGCCACTCCCGCTCCGCGACTTCGTGAGCGGGTTTGTGCGGAGCCACCAGGACTGCCTCTGGTAACACTGGAGCCACGAGGAGGAGCTTCCCCCCCGCCTCCCCTTCGTTGCCTCAAGGCTACTGTGCGTCGCTTATTTGGCGACGCCGACTCGAAGAATGACGAAGGTGGCTCGATCACTCGGAGAGTTAGAGGATTTTGCAGTTGTAATTGAGGATGCGTTATTTGCGCGCTACATCAATTACCTCAGCCATAACAGAGCCAGTGGGTCACAATCCAAAGTGTAGAGGTAAAAAGCGTTCTTGATCCCCGAAACCATTACGCGGTCGACACGACGCAGAGCACGCCTAAATTTCGTACTCAAAGTGGTGGCGAAGAAATTAGAGGAAGTGCAAAGGTACGATGCCGATGTAAAATCTGAACTCAGGCGGGGTCTCAGACTCAGAGTTCTTGTGGCAAGGAAACTATAGACGCAAGAACTGGAGGCTCAAGAAAATTTGTGCGCAACTCGTATCATGTTCAAAACAGTTTTCTGTTGCGCACTAAGAAAGGCAAAGGATTCCGTTGTTCGTCGAACTAGTCATGTTCTCTTTTCATAACATATTCCGATATGAGCAAGGGTACTCCGTATTGCTTCGTTGCTGCCTCTAACTGCGCAGAAAGGTTGACGTGCGGCGATAGATAGCTCGCGTCTACCTTGAACTCACTTCCGATCGCACCCTCGATAGCCCAGCCACGGGAGTTAGAAGCGCTTTAACATCCCTAGAAGTGCATCGTATTCGAATTCCTAGGTAGTGTCCCTGAGATAAATTACTTATATCTAGTGAAGCCTCTGGCTTTCCCGGAGGATCCCTGTAGAAGGAACAAGGGAATACAGACAGGTCCATAAGATGCAAACCGAATCCCATTTTGACGCGATAGTTCGCCATTCGAGAAAGCAGACCTTCGTGTAATCGGTACGTCGCTAAAACGGGTGATCGGTTTGTAGCGGCGATTATTCTGACGAAGCACATCGTAGCCAGCTCTCCGATCCGTTGAACTCTCCCTGAATGGTGTACGTCTCCCGACAAGTCACTAGCATTGTGGCGATCATCCTTGGATATTCTTCCTAGACGCCAGACTAGAAGAAACGCATCGCCGATGTTCTTGTTTGGGGAAGGAGATTAGACGAAGAGAGTAGCGGTCTTAGTGGTCTTGTACCGTAGTAAGTAGTTTACCTCTCTTGTCCTCAAGCACAAGTACGAATCGCATTTGCGACCCTCGTCTTACTCCTGCTACTGCTTGCAGGAAGAAATCATAAATCAACAAGGAGTAAGATCATCATCACATGTATGAGTTATCACCAAGGACAAGAAGCGCTCTGCAAAAATCACTTGAATTTTATTCTGCCCAGACGAACTAGAATCAATTAGAAGAATCATCAAGCGTAGTGTTGCAACAAAAATCAGCCTTAACCACAATGTTGATCTGTCAGTGTATGCACGATCTCTGAAATTCGGTTGACGAAGAGCATGACGCCATCTTCTAGAATTTCGGTTGCGTCTGTGAAATTCCTTATATCGCAAAATCCGAAAACTGCATCCATAAACGTACCGTCAACCATAGTGTTGATAGCACTCGTAGTATCCGACTCCTTCATATTGTGCCCAATAACAGCCGAACCAGCTTCGCCGAAGGCTGGAGAGGTGTGGTTGAAGAAATTCTTGATCATGAACATCATGCTCCTTTTCAACTAGCATTCTAAAGTTGAAGAAAAGCATTTTCTTGCATGTATGCTACACAAGCGCTTGCAATAATTTCCAGTCGATGACATACAACTAAGAACAATGTCTTGCAAGAGTATGAGTACATTTCGAAAAAAATATTTCTACGATCAAAATCATAATACCAAGCGCACACAACCCTCCCAGCTTGATGATTGTTTTCTCCAGAATCACGGTTTCCATCAACTTGGCGTTTTTGTTCTCGGTTGTCCACCACCAAGACCTAATTCGATCTCGAACGCGTTTCAACTTCGCCACCAAACTTTGACGACGCTGGCGATGCAACGCTCTCATCATACTGCTCGCAGGTCCTGGAGATACGGCTAAGGTCCCGACGTTGTTGGTAGATGGATTAGAAGATGTAGCTGCACCTGTCGCACTCTCCTCTCCAGTTGTAGTCCGCTCTCCCACCGAGGTACTCAGTCCACCGCTAAGACTACGCGATGTGCCAAAAGTACTTTGCAGTGTACCCAATTTCACAACGCGAGTGTTAGAAGAAGCGTATGCAATTTTATTGAATCCTTTAGGAGCGACTAATTGAAAGACCGAAGTAAGAATGACACAGGCGAGTGTTAGAAGAAGCGGCACTGGGGGTACAGACGAATGCTGCCTGGTTTACATTTTATGCAATTTTATGGAAACTACTCAATCGATTCTTGCTTGCTTCCAGACGGATTTCAATTTGTTGAGGAAATTGAAAGACAGAAGTAAGAATCTTAACATTGGTATTTCGAAGCAGGGCATCTCCGCTACCTCCGGTGGACGTCATCAAGGCATGCTGGTGATCCATCAGGGAAACGCTCTTGCTAGTTTGCGTTAGAGGTGGACATATACAAACAGAAATGCGTATTGATATTGAACTTTCGAATGTAGAAGTATGATCCACTGACACCACAACAATGGACTCCATAATTTCCCAGGTTGATTTGGTTTTCCAAGTTTGTTCGCGCGTGCTGCCTCTGCCTCACGACGTAACTCTTCTTCACTCATTCGGATCGCTTCAAAGGGATTGCTTCGGATCTTCGCCAAACGCGTGATCATGCGCTCTACCGGATAGAGCACTAGTTGGTTCGCGTCACGCGAGAAAAGAGCGTTACCACCGACAAGGAGGAAGAGAGTTCGAGGACTATGTAGGAAGCGTTTGGTCTGTAACAGCCTGAAACTTACTTCTGAAGCGGACAACTTCTCCTATTTCCTGCTTAGGTTTTAGGGTTTGGTTTAGGGTTTAGGGTAGTTGGGGTTGGAGTGGGGAGGGACTGTATCGACTAGACAGGGAAAACGTTGAGGCGAACGCTGCGAGGACAAGATCTCCTAGTTCTAGCATACCATAAGAGCACAAAAAGCGTCTGGAACATGTTGAAAATCGCTTCCAAACTGGTCCACTTCGTCAAATCGAAGTACCAGATAAAAACCATTTTGTCCAAGCTGTTATTTTTTCATTTTCAAGGTTGCGTCGTTGTTGTTATGTTTACGATCATAAAAAGACCAGTGCCTGAAGAATGCTCGTACTTGTTGTGTTTACGATCATAAAAAGAGCAGTGCCTGAAGATGAATGCCAAGACACAAAAAGAATCATTACTCTGGCACCGTTTCATGCAGCATACTCGGAACGAAAACAGGGGCTACTAACGAAACCTCGTTTGGTCGCAGACCTTTCTTAGTATGTCATAGCTTTTCATCCTCGTCCTGCGTCCTCCAGTGACCTGCAGGTGCAGTTCACTGATCGTCCTGGTCTGGAGGGTCTCTTCCTTGAACTACTAGGAGTTACATATAAATTACAGAGCAGACCTAGACGAAGGAAAAAGGGGATGAAATATTAACGGGGTGACAATCACAACTCATTTGTCCACCGTAACTTTCGGACAGCCTTTATTCTGCGGATAGGCGATGCTCGCACCGTATCTTTTTCGTTCGAAGGAATTACGCACCAGAAAATCTAACGACTCACTACACTCCTCATCCCAGGTTGCCATCAAATTCTCCTTGTGGACGAGGGCATCTGTGGAGGGATAGGGTTGGTTAGTTGCTTGGTTAAGAGGTCAAAGCATCTGTAGAAGTAGAACTGCCGCATTATCCTGTCGTACACCGTCGTACAAATTGAAGTATTGAGAGACACGACACACGAGTGATCAGGATCTATGATGTATGATTCGAATTTAGTATTCAACAGCTTGCCTAAGATTTTCCTCCTAACGATAATATCTAGCACCTGCTATATACATTGACTGTAAAAAAAATGAAGAAAACAATACTGCTACTCCACTTCTCTCTTCTTGCGTATCTTGAATCCCAGGTAGTAGAAGGGATCGACCAATAAGGATCGCTGTACTTCGAAACATCTCCTAGAACTGCATGTTGGGCAATCCTGAAGACGATAGGAGTTGTTGAGCATATATTCTTTGCAGAAGAAGCAGGCGGGGTTATAAAAAGAACCACAAGAAGTACAAGTACCTGGTCTGGTTCTTCAAGTACAACTCGTCGTGCTACAGGAAGCAGAAATAACCGGAGTCAATTATTTCTATGAAAAACCAAAATAAGTACTCCAACGTCGTCGCATTGTCTTGGGGTCTGTTGAGAAAGCCAACCCAGAAGATGGTGTCTTTCACAGAATGAGGGTTCTTGGAGTCCACTGAATCCTCGTATTCCCCATGCGGATTATGGTAGTATATGTAATGCAAGTGTTTGCTTTGGTGATTAGAGTGTGCTCGGTGTTCTTGTTGTAGTTTAAAATGCATGATCAAGAACTACAAGTACGCTGTTTGTGTTTGATCTCTTGTAGTTATATAATGCGTCAAGAACTACAAGTACGTTGATCTTCTCAAAGTTATTATTATTATTAGGAGAAGGGTAGACGGTTATCCACAGACCTACAGACGGCCAGGGGGCGGAATCTGAAGCACAGCGACGCGTTAGGTACAAAGTTAATAACGTCAAATTTCTTGCAATACGAACACAAAGGCTTAACATATGCATGCCTCTCTGCATCTCGCCTACGGATTTGGTCCACCGTGGCTGATCCACCTGCAGCACTGATGTTTCGATGCGAAATCATGTACTCCCGAAACGAGTCCCAGACTGTCGTAGCGGCATAAGATGCAGCATCCATATAGTTGTCTTTTGTGGCGACGAGGCTGGGGAGGGAGGAGGAGGAGGAGAGAGAGAACGCAATTGCAGTATGCTGAACAAGATGACTACAACATCTAGTACATCATCATCAATCTGTTTTACAATTTGTACTCGGCATTTGATCTAATCTTCACCACCGGCACACATTGAAACATCTACTAACCACTTCAAGAAATAATCAAAATTAAATATGAATGTAGCACAAGCAAGTACCCATCACTTCGGAACATGGGCACAGCCACCAGCATGACAAGTACGACCATGATGACACGTATGGTTGTCATTTCTGAAAGCTTCTTGCCAACCCTCGACTCCTCAACCTCTTCATCCTCATTCGCGTCTGCGAAAACTTGTCTTTCGCCTTTTTAAGTAGATGGGGAAGTAGAAGATGACCACGACTTATCTACCATTTACCAATGGTCGTAAGAAATAATACTGCTGAACCTGAAGTCGCTACTAAAAAAAGACATCAAGAAGAAGCCTGCAGATCAGGAAATCACAGCCAGGAGAATGACACGAGTTCGAGTAGGTCTAAAAACTCTTCAAATTTCCACTATCATCTAAGTACTTACCAGGTGACAGCAGTGCGTTGTTTAGTTCGCGCTCTTGTTTCCGTTTCCGTTCCAAATGTGCCTTGTAGAGCTTGAAAATACGCACCAAGCGTATGACACGAATCACACGAACAATGCGACCCGGGATTTAGAACACGGAGAGCGAGTTCAAGTAGAGCAGTAGAGCGAACTGTAGTCTAGGAGTCTAGTAATCGCATCTAGTAGGCAGTTGTAAGCGCCCGTACTACCGACTCCCAGCAACATGCCTTAAATCCTAGTGCCTGCACGACTTGCACGTCCAACTCTGGCAACTCCACCACTGCCACCACCACTTCCATCTTCGTCCGACGACGTGAACAGCTCTTCCGCGACCCATGTGATATCCAAAATCAACGACATCGTCGATAAAACGTCCAGGGTGGAATGAAGAGAAGGAATTTTTTCCTAGATGGAAAAAAGAGAATTTGGAATGAAGAGAAGGAATTCTCTTTTTTCCATCCTGGATGTTTTATCGACGATTTCGTAGATTTTGGATATCCAGGATGGAATGAAATCGACGATAACCGATTATTATATCGAATAGAATTTTCTCTAGTAGTAGTATCTCTAGCACCAGAGGACTAATTAATATTTACCGTTACAGCGGTACAATAAGAATAATTGCGTCTGCTAAAAATAACAACATTCTTCGCGAACTACGACATCATTCTTGTCCCCCCCTGATCCTGCCACATGGAAGACAGGGTATGATCCCTGCTGTACCTCGCTCTGTTTCCTCCACCAAGTAGATAGAAGTAGAACCTCAACAAGTGTAACTGATCCATATCGCCATATTAGAAGAAGAATCCACCGTAGTAGTCCGGTTTACCGAACGAGTAAACGAAGACCTCCAAAGCAAACATCCCCAGGCACGCGTAGGTCAGTCCATTGAAGACGGATTGTTAGCGGTGTAGGAGATTTTTTTTTGCGATTTTTGTTGCGATGCCTATCCCTATGATGCAGCTTCAACTCACGTGAAATAAGGGTGGTGACTAGAAGATCATAACTCTTGAAGAAGCAAGCATCAGAACGGGATAAATGCTAGAAGAAATAAAAGCACTACAACTATTAAACCAAATTAAGTTGTGCTACCTGCTAAACCAAACCACCTAGTATAAATATTAATGCCAAAATAAAGTCAGAAATGAATTTTCTAGACTTGTCATAATAGTCGTGTTGTCGTTCTGTGCATGCCAACCGGATGTCATCTCCTACAAGGGCGTACACGGTGAGAAGCGTCATGATAATCGCGAACGCATCTTAGAAGAATTTTCGTTTTTCGTTGATACATCATATTCATAGCCTCTATTTGAAAAAACTTGTAGACTTGTTATGCATAATATTTCTCCTTTTTCTAGAAACAGACGAGGAGAAGGACAAGGAGTAGAAGATCCTAGTCCTTAGGACTAAGTCCTAGATAAACACAACTCCTAGTCCTATGCCTTAACCATTGTTATTACTGACGGCTCGACATAGACCGTACCACTTCCGCCAGGCGATGGAAAGGATTCCTTCATCAACCCCCTCACCAAAGCTCTGACCCCTCCTCCACACCATAGAGGGGCCTTTTCCCAAAGAAAAACTCTGCATTTTTTTGAATTTTCTACTTATATTCAATCGTCGTTGTGTATGTGTAGTATGTCTGTATTTCAAGGTGGTCAACTGTTACTCAATGTTCGTCTTAGTGGGTGTGGGAAAAATTTTTCTAGCATTCGTAGATGATGAATGTACGAAGAATTTCAGTATCATAACATTTATATCTTTAAGTGACGCCAACTATCTTTTCGCTGTCTTTCTCCGCCAACTGGTGCAGGAGGAGGCTTCGTGTTGCTAATAAATAGAATTTATATGTATTGCAACACATCGCAGTTTTAGGTCGGAGGACCGTTTTGGTTTTGGAGGTAGATAATTTTCTACGTTCTTTCACGAAAAAAAAATCGATCCGCCTCCGCAGGTGTTTCTTCATCTTCATTCACCTCAGGAAGACAGACCTCTCCACTTACCGACGTCGGATACTAGAAGCCGCCAGAAGTTTGAGTTGACCTGTAGAAGTTTCCGTTGCCCTCTTGTTTTCATTCATATTGTTCATGTTATCTAACTTGATGTAGTCCTCTCTTTCATTCGTTAGCATCTCATAATTTTAGTTGTGCGTACTGATTCACTTGATTTAATGATTGAAATGTCTATCGCAACAAACAAATCTCCAATACAAGTGAGGTTAGGTTAGGCGTGGGCCCACTAGGAAAACTAGCGGACGTAACTCGTTACTGAAGAGTCAACAAACAAGACTACGACCTAGCGCTGATGACGCTACGCTATTTATTTCTAGTCAGTGTCAGACTCAGAGAATCTTCCTAACGTTTATTTGTACATCATGATCATATTAGCTCATCACCGATCAACTACAAGCTTGTGCCTAGCACCACACAAGGGACTTTCAAAGCACAGAAGATAATGGCTAACAATCGTCTCTCACTCTCTCTCTACTTCTCTCCTAGTCCTTCTACTACTCCATGAAGATCATGCATGACCGGAAAGTTTCTAGGACATCGTACCACCTGGGCCAATTCCCTGTTCGTCTCGTGCCCGTTGTAGCTAGTAACTAGACGAACATTTTCATCTTCGTACATTTTCTTTTTCATAACGCATGTCTACTGCAGTTGCCTCAGCTCTCATCTGCGATGCAAAATGAAAATCAGAATTCCCCGAAGATGAGGTCTAAAAAAAACAGTAGTATAAGTTTAAGCACGAGTACCTAGGTAGAATATTAAGAGCAATAAAACTTTGCAAACACATCCCTTCGGAAGCCTCAACCCCCAACACCCAAACCCAAAACCTCCAACACCCGAACCCAAAACCTCCGACACAAAAACAAACAAACCCCAAACCCATGAACCAATGAACCAATGAACCAATGAACCCAGGAACCCAGGAACCCAGGAACCCAGGAACCCAGGAACCCAGGAACCCAGGGACCCAGGGACCCAGGAACCCAGGAACCCAGGAACCCAGGAACCCAGGAACCCAGGAACCCCGGAACCCCGGAACCCCGGAACCCAGGAACCCAGGAACCCAGGAACCCAGGAACCCA